AAATAAAAAGAATAAAAAGAAGAAATAACAGAGAAGAAACACTGTTCGTCCCACTTTCTAGAAAACGTTCTGTACAAACTTACAAACCAGTAATTCTCAAAGGAAGAAAAAAAAAAAAAGAAGAAGAAGAAGAAAGAGGACGTTTTCAATGTAATTTTTTCCCCCCTCTCCACCCCTACCGAAATTAATGGGCAAAACGATTCCGTGCACCGAAGCCTGCTCGCGAAATTCCCCGATAAATACACAGGAAACGAGCCCGCATAACGATAGAAATCGATAACATCCGACGCGATAATATCGCCGTGGCAGCGTTTATTCAAACGCTCCCGTGTTTTCGCTGCACGGCTGATTTCGAAACAAAGCCGAAACGGGGCCCCGGATAATGTCGTAGACGCGTGTATCATCCGCTTTGATGGATTATGGAATATACTTTACGGTCGGCCCGTTTCATTTTCACTCGCGCGAAAATTTGCTTTCGGTTTTTCGCACAAAATATTTACATGAACATAGGCGCACACTCGTGAATGTAATACAATTTTTGGAAATCGTTTGAAATGTGGCCCGATCAAAATGGAAATATTGATTCGTCGCTGCGAAAGAGGATGGAATGTTTGGAATTGATGGAAATAACTCACTTCTCGAATTATTATGTTTGGTATGATATTTTGAAAATTTAAAAAATAAATATTTTTGCAAGGCAAAAGTGATTTTCATACGTCTTCCACGTGAAAAAATGTTTTTGAAAAATCATATTTATAACTCGATATTTAATAAAAAAGAAATAATTTTTTTTTTTTGGTTTTTCATTTCAATTCAATATTCTATAAATTATATATGGTACATATGTAAGTTAAAAAATAACTTATCTGGACTTATATCGTTACGATTCATACTCTTTAACCATGGTTTCTTGAATTTTTTCTCCTGTTCTTTTTCTTCGTATAATTTCAATAAGCTATACAATTCATATGAATGTTCAATATCTTTGAAATTTTAAAATGAATAGCCAAAAAAAAAAAAAAAAAAAAAAAAAAAAAAAAAAAAAA